GAAAAAATACCTTGGCTGTGCTGCTGTTTGGCGCTTAGCCTCATTGTCTGGTGTCTGTATTCAAACCACTGTATTCAGTGATTTAATATTATTTTCATATATCAAATCCCTCCCAGGAAAGGGAGACAGTCTTCTGACCTTTCTGGAGCTGCATGGAATGAAGCTGATTAGAGCTGGTTAAATGATTTGCCACTGCAAGTTCATTATTCTATTTGTAAAGCTTCTTCAAGAGGAGAGATATGACAAATAACTCTTAAAAGGCGACAATGAGATGTGCTTTCTTTTTGGTTTTATTGCTTAATTTTAATATTTTGAACAATAAAAGATTATTTTAATGTAAATGTGGGACTCCGTATACTCAGAATATTGGTTTTTTCGAGTAAGTGGGGAACTTTTTCCAGTAAGCTACCTTTAGCAGCCAAGTTACCTACTGGACACCTTGGTAGTCATACTTTTAGCTTTGTTTTCAAAGAGACCAAGTCTTGCATGTCTATGGTACAGGTATAGCTGCCAAGCAGTTCTTTTCAGATACATTTGACTGCATCAACCAGCTTCCAAAAAGTTTGGCAGGCGTGTAGTAGTCTCAGAGGTACATAATTCCTGCCCTATTTGCTTGGTGGCAGGTGATGGAGGCAGATATATCCCCAAAGAGGGAAAGGGGTCCCATGAGATGTCTGAGGATCCTTGTGGGACCACTTGAGAGAGAAATGCACAAGAATGAGCCTGTACGTCCACTCATGGAAATGGTTATTGGAGAATAAGATTTAAATTCAAGTTAGATGTGCATGTGCTCCTGTATGGATTGAGGCAACCTAGCTACAAGAAGTGCTTCCAGGATCAGCTGCTTAGCTGCATGGAGCTGCAGGCTGGGAATGAAACAGCATTTGTAGTTGGCACACGTACACTGCTGACTTCCAACCAGGGTAATCGTAACACTGCTTTTTATAAAGGACTTTTCACACTGAAAGACAACAAAACACATGCAGACTTGAGTTCTGGTCACGGCCTTGAGAATGTCAGGAGCTGGCATTCCCTGCTGACTGCTTAATCCGCTGGAAAATAATGAAGAAGGGATACCTCTCTTTCAAAAGTTCAAAATTTATTCCTGGGTTATAGGTTTTTCAACAAAACCTACAGGAGAGGGAGGGTCTTAAAATGGATATTTTATTTAGCTGTTATCAGCCCCCAACAACTTTTGTGAATTGAATCTTATTATACTACAACCATACAGAAGTTTTAACAGAGCTCATTTTAAAGCAAGAGCATCCAGAGGATGGTAGCATATAACGGTCAGGAAATTTGCCAGATTTTTACAAAAGCATAAGCTTTTGACAACTACCTCATGGAAAGAATTTTTTTTTTTAAGGCAGCACAACATTGGCAGCTTGACAAACTACAGATTCTTAGTGAAGAGAACACTAATTGTGTAAGAATTAGCACAGGATGTGCAGTTAGAAAATCAACATCAGTTTTCAATCTGGGAGCAAAGTATCTGCTGCAGAAGCATTGCCAGATTGTGGGACTGTCTCCCCAGCACCCACCACTGTGTCACAGGTGCACTGGGTATGCTGGCCAGCTAGACGTGATCCTGATCCATCACTGTGCATCCCTCTGTACAAAGACTGAAAGAACCAGCTTGCTATCCAGCTAAAAAGATGAATGACAAGAATAAACTCTGAATTGCCTCACTCTGTGCCGTAAGGCAAAGCACAAGGACTGAAATACTCCTAGCCTGTAACAAGAAAGCTCTGTCCTGGTCTCTGTATGTGTTTGAGGAGACTTGGGTGTGAGGATGCATTTTTTTCCCTTCTTCCTAAAGTCCTCTCTTCTTTTAAGTGTGATTATTCATCTGGCCATGGGTCAACCCTTGAGTAATGTTTTTGTGTTGTTTTTGCTCAAGTCAGCAAGATTCAGTCTGTTAGTTATGGGCCCTTCCCCCCCGGTTGGTGCATTTGACTTTAAATAAGAAGGGGGTTTCCTTCAAAACAGCCAGAGGTAGGTAGACTGGCCATCTACAAACCAGCGATAATATTTTGAGCATTTATTTGCTTCCCACTGACTTACGTACACATGTGGCCATAAACTCTGCGAGCTTGCCTACTCAGTAGTAATTTCAGTCTAATATTACAGGGTCTCAGCGCCTCATTTCTTTCTTGGCATAACGCAAAGCATATTTACTCCAAAGGAATAAGTTCTAACAGTTCTTTGGGGATGCAGTGGGACAAACGTTCAAAGTGCATCATTTAATCTTATTAATTTTTTCCAGTGTAGAAAGAATAGCATTTGAATGAAAAGATGTTTCAGTAAATTACTGATCTGAACAATGTTGTATTCTGGGTTTTTTTTAACAATGCATATCTTGTTTATAGAAACATTCCAGAACAGTTACATTATGGAAATGCCGTTTGCAGTGGTACGAATTCCAAGTATCCAGCTGTTAAAAAGAAAGCTAGTGGTGATATCCAGTTTACATTGTTATTTGCTTGCAACATAAAATGAGAGATTCAGATGCTTACCTCTGCTGTGCCAGCTCTGTTCAGATCTCTGCCTACACTTGTCTATTAGCACAAACAGATTTACCAAATAAGCACTCAGAAGCCCACATGATAAAGTCCGTTAAACACGTTTCTTGTAGGTGAATTGGAGAAGATACATGAGT